TAAATTGTAACTTTGCATCTTTGTATGTATTTATTACTTGACGTAATAAAGCTTATTTTCAGTAATTTCTGTTGTTAAACCGTGGGGAGCCATTTACATCTAAAGCCCGGCAGATGTACAAGCAATTAAAATTATTACAAGAGGACAAACATAGGAGACTGGTGATGGAGAAGATTGAGAAGATGAAAGTAAATGTACATTCAGAATCATTCCAGCCTGCAGGGATGGCCCCTAAAAGAGGATCCATCTTTTTCTGATTAAACAACGCAATGCCATGCCCACAATGCTGCGTTCCAGAACATAATTCTGCCTTGCCGCTCCACCGACTCTGGCAGGTTGTGCACTTTTCTCATCTGTTTTGAATGCAACATACTTTGTTCCCTGCTTTGAGTCCGATCAAATGCATAAAAGCGGCCCAGTGGAGATACAGTTTAGTATCACAGGGACCAAGCTGGAAGGTGGCCCCTTTGCGTGCCACCAAATAATTGCAAACAAACCGTAGTTTGTTCTTTCAAAGTTCCGTGAAAGGATATGCAGGGAGAGAGGGAGAAATAAATTATGTCCGATTCCAAAGAATGCCGTGATCTAGGCTCCGGAAAATGAGAGGCAGTCCTCTGCCACCGGCGATGATCTCCCTGTCCCCAGTGAAAGGGAAAAAAATAATAACGGTGCCATCACACTAATAATGAAAGCACGGATTGTATTTCCCTCTGCTGAGTCCCAAACACTTCTTTTTCTTTAAAAAATGAGAAACAGGCATCAGAGTAGACCACAAATACAAGAAAACGGTAACCAATGCTGTCCACGTTCCTATTTGTCCTCCAGGGCATGCATTTCTTTCAAATGCCTTTTCCTTTCAAGGTTCTTCCTTGCTTGCCGCCTCTTTTCTTCCTTTTTCTTCTCCAACTCCTGTTTCTCCTGCACCACAGCACTGGCCTGGCCTTTGTAGAAAATGTCGACTTTTTCCTGGAGGATCCCTCTGGCTTTCAAGCGGTTTGTCTCTAGGGACCTCGTCTGATGGCACTAGGGAAGAAGAACAAGCATCTGACTTTAGGGAACACGGCCTGCCTCGTCCGGAAACATTCGTTAGGATAGGTATTACTACATCAAAACATTGGGGGAGATGGGTGGAAGTGCCACTGAAGAGACTCAATAGGCCAAACTCCCAAAGGGATCCATAAAAACTAATACGAGGACCAGCGCACGGGCTGCATTGTATTTATGTTTGTAATGGGATCAACAGGATGAGATGGTCCAGCCACCACTAGCTAAAAGAATGTTTTCATCTACAGCAGTGTTTCTCAACCTTGACAACTTGAAGATGTGTGGACTTCAACTCCCAGAATTCCACTGGCCGGGGAATTCTGGCAGTTGAAGTCCACACATCTTCAAGTTGCCAAGGTTGAGAAACACTGCTCAAGAGACAGCTGGTTTCAATACGATCACAAGACTGTGGCAGACTGAGCTAAAACCTTTCCTGGTAGGATGCTCAAATATAGACCCAAACTTAGTCCAAACCCAATCACAAGTGTGCTTACAACAGGAAAGATTCCCGTCTAGTCACCTGGATAGGACTTTTACTCGCCGCAGGTGATCAGGCAGCCACCTATTTCAGATCCAAACTCGGGTAACTTCCAGATCGTGCACAGCAAGTACGGAAAAGACTAGGGAACCCTGCCAGATTAAGCGAACTAGAACCACCCGTGCAATCACCTTGACTACAATCCCTGATGGAAGATGCTTCAGAACCACACAGTTGTTGGTTTTGTTTGTGGCTTGGCCTCCAGGCCCAAAGCCCCGGACAAACTGTTCTTCCAAGTCGGCTTCGTTCAGAGGAAGAAGATCGCTGGAGCTCTTCTTTCCTGCTTCAAGAAACCACAGTCCAGGGCACTGGCCCAGTAAGAAGCGCTTCTCTCCAAGCCTTGGTGTCCGAGGGAAGCTGCTCCGTTGGACGATCAAAGGGGTGGTCAAGCGTAATAAACTTGATGGAGGCATCAAAAGAAATCGAAGGGGACTTTTCCAGCTGCAAGACAGAAGCAGGAAGGTGCAACCGGTAACAATCCATAAGCTTGGTTTGTTAACAGCATTGCATGCAGCAGGTTTTATGGTTTGGTGGAAGGAGAAACGGGCCAAATCTGTATTTTCCTTCCAAGAAGTCTTATGCAATGCAGAATGTCTGGTTAACTGCAGAACTGGCATGACATAATCAGATAGCAGGAGCGGATCTGCAGCTATGAAAAAGGTTATAATATCCAGGGATTTCACCACAGCTACTTTTGAGAAAGTTCTCCATGCTACCTACCAAGCAATGTACTACCTACTCCTCTGAATGGCTGCCAAATTGCACCTTGGTCTTCCTGCACAGCACCTTTTTGCTGCAATCCAGCAGAATGAAATCAGTGCCTTTTGCCTTCTGTGTGTTCCTTTTCGTTTTGCATATCCTTCTCAAGGCTTCTCTAAGATATAATAGCCCAGGGGTGCAGCTCAGCAGGAAGGCAAGGGAGGGAGAGGAAGAGGGCGAGCTCATTGCTTGATTTCTTTCTGCAAACTTTTCTCTTCCTATTCTTAGAGCAAATTAATGGCCCAGTTGAACAAATGACTGGATTCCAAGATGCTGCCAAGAAGTAGTGGCACTAAGAAAAAAAATGAGAAGAAATCTAGCTTTTTAAAATTCAGAACTAAAAAAACTTTCAGCCAGTGCTTTAAAACGCACACCCCACAACAAGCCACTGTCAGCAACACAAGTATAACGGACTCTGAAACATAATAAATTTGATCCGAAACCAAGCTTTTGTATCTTCCAGCTTTGTTTCAGAGCCATGACCTGACTTGAACTTGAGTGAAAGGAGCCCTTTTAAAAAGCTCCATTGGACAATGTTGCAGAGGTTCCGTTAATTGAAAATAGGTTGCTTCCTGAGATGCTACATTATCAAAACATTTCCAGTTCAGTTTCTGATCATTCCCAATCAATGCTGGTACTGAATTGTATGTTTGCCAGCTATTAGTCTGTCCCTCCAGCGGCATGCTTTTTTCAGAAGATACATGGACGCGGAGGGGACAGATGGCCAGAAAGCCAATGACAACAAGGAGGTGAGAAAGTAGCAGTTTTGAAGCCAGCTTCCTCCCTCATCTTCTCCCACCCTCTGCAGTGAAGTCACAATGCAATGCCTGCCACTTCAGTTGCCAAGGGAATAAAGGAGATGGGAAGAAAAGGGCTGCATCGTGAGCACCACTGCAGAGCTGGCTAGGTCGACTGCACTGCACTGCACCCCACCGCCAAAGTAAATGCAGCTTGGCCACCATCCATCATGGTAAGAAGCCATCCCAGCTTTTCTTTAGATCCGGGTTTTCAAAAGCAGAGGTAAAGTCATGTGAATAGGCATACGCCCCGTGTAAAGTTTTTTTTTTTTTCCTTTTTAACATACGTGGACATATCAGTACTTTATCTTCCTTCAAACAGGATATAAAGATAAAGGTGACATAACTGAACCAAAAAAAAAAAACTATGAAAAATATGCCATTTGTTCCTGTGGAAAAAGCAAGCACACCCCTGGCACGAACAGACAGATGGTCTCACGTTATCCTCAAGCACCCACTGGTACCATGAAGAATTCATACTGGATTCTGTGGCGGTGAGCTGCCCAGGCCCTGATGCAGCAAAGCAGCCCCAAACCGTAACATTTCCACCACCACGCTCTACAGCTGGTATCAGGTTCTGCTGCTGAAATGCAGAATGTTAGTTTTTGCCCAACGTGTCTTCTGGTACCAATAACTCTATCTTTGCCTCGTCTGTCCAGAGCATTGTTCCAGAAGCCCTGATCTTTGCCCAGGTGTTCATGAGCAAACTTGAGTCTTGCCCCGATGTTCTTTCCTCCTGGTACACCTCCCACGTAGATCTAATTTGCGCAGATTCTTTCTAATGGCAGACTTGTGCACTTCGACATCAGTAGTGGTGAGAGCTGCCTGTAGGTCAGGTGATGAAATTCTGGGGTTCTCAGAGCCTTTTTTTTCAGCTTCTTGGGTTCTGCTCTCAGGGTGAACTTGCCGGGAAGGCCTGCCCTGGGCAAGTTGGCTGTTTGAAATCGTCTCCACTTGTAGATCTGGAGAGTGGAATGATTGAGGTCCAATTGTTTGGCAATCTTTTTCAATCCCTTCCCAGGCTCAAAGGCATTTTAACCTTCGCTCTGAAGGCCTGAGAGAGCTCTAGGCATGGTGATACCACACCCTTCAACAACAAAGAGCAAATCAAACTAGATATCTGAGGTTTCAATAAGATAGGTTCCTCCCTTTCTAACAACATTCTAATCATTTGATCCCGATTCTAATTTTAAGTATTTGAAGTAGTAATAAATGTAAGGGTGTATTTGCTTTTTCCACATGGAAAATCTGTTCAGTAGATTTAATACAGTATGTTTATTTCAATTACGCAACAGACTATAAAATGTAAACGGTGTGTGATATTTGTCCTATATCAATACTGTTGAAATGAAGATCAAATATCTGTATGGTGAAATACGTCGAAAAAGTCAAAAGTGTCCATGGGGCGCACTTACTTTTTCACATGACTGTGGGGTAGTGCTGCATTTACTCTGGCCAGAAGGGTGGCTTTATGGAGAAACAGCAGCCGCTGCCGGGAAAAGACGCCCAAGATTTTGGGGGTGCAACTTTGGCCAGTTTGAGGGGGAGCTTCTCTCTCAGCTCAGGAAGGAGGCTGAGCCCAGTCTCCCCATTCACGCAGATGGGATTCCCCAAGAGCTCCCAAGCACCATCACTGGCTCTGCATATTATGGGAAAGCAGGACTGCTGGATGCCAGGGTGACGTGCCAGGTAGTAGCTACGTTTGCAAAGACCCAAGCTTGCCTTGGCTGTGTTCACACCACACTCTTCGGCGGATCTAAAAATATATTCAGGCTCCCTTTTCCTTCTGGATCCGTGTCGTGCAAAGTGCATCCTTTTTTTTTTTTTTTTTAATGCTGTGAGAAGCCAGAAAGCAGGTTGATTCAGGATCCTGCCTGGGTTGCGCTTTGCCTAGGCTCACTCCTCCTCTCCAGCTAGAAATCAGATCAGTCCCGGTGTAACGCTGAGTTAGAGCTAGAGAAAGGTGGGTTCAAATCCCCGCTCTCCCCCCGCCCCGAAGCTCTTCGACTGGTCTGGGGTCATTCGTTCCGCCTGGCCTACCTCGCAGGGTTGTTGTGGGCTGGGATCGTGGGAAAGGCCGAAGGGAAGGTGGTAAATAGGCACGAGCAGCTGCTGGGTCAGAGCGAGGATACCGTGTAGGGAGAAGCTTTTCTTGGGACGGCCTGGTTCCCGCTTCGGTCGGCTGCGGAGGGTCGCCACGCTTACTTTCGGGGCAACCCAAACAGAACTAGGCCTCAGCCCCGACGCTGCTGCGCATGCGCTGCACCCTGGCGGCAGCCTGTGTTTGCTCCAATGGCTGAGACCGGATGGAGCCAATCCCAGAGAGGCTCCCTTGGAGCACCGCCCGTTCCTCACTCGCTGCCCTATCGCAGCGCTGGCGGGGGAGGCCGGAGCGCGAGCGAGCCCTCTTGAACCAATGGCGTCCTCGCCTCCGCGCCCTCCTCCCGCCTCCCCCGGCCAATAG